CCCCAAAACCCCAAAACCCCAAAACCCCAAAACCCCAAAACCCCATAAGAAGTATTAGAGAGTAATTAATTGGATAATGTTAATTTTTAGATTATAGCAAATACATATAATATAGATATATAATTGTGATTGTTAAGGTGGATCCAACTCATTAAAAGTAATAATTATTAAATAATGAAGAATCTTGCAATTCTCAGCTTGCTATTTGCTGGCATTGTCTAGTCAACCAGCCATCAAGAATTTCTCAAGCAATATGAAACCTATAATGCTAAGGATATTCGTCTTGAGTCTGACTCATTACCAATTTTCAAGAATCACTTTGGTAATTACTCCCTAATATAACAAATACATAGGGGTATCATATACCTAAGAAGAGAGCAATGGAGGTGTTACTAGAAAGACATTATTAGGCGCACCACCTTCTCTTTATGGTACTTGGGAAAGAAGACATGATTTTATCACATAGTAATTTAATTTATCATTTTAGATTAAATCTTATAGGTAAACCTAAAACTTAAAGACTCAAAAGGAAAAGAAGCTCAATAATACTCTCTATAAGTGCTAACAGAGAGGAGATTCAGGGACAGAATACTTCGAATTCCTCCCATCTTTTGCTGCTAATGTTAATGCATCTCATCCAACTTATTCATTCACTTCTGGGTTATGTTTCCAACAAATTGATTTCGCTATTTCCTATTATCCCTCTCCAGAGAACTTCACCTCCGTTACACTTGATGTTACCACCTCAAAACCTAAATCCCTATTATGTTCTGACAACCTCTTCATTGGTACATTTGAGATTTACCATATCGAAGATTTCTTCTTCCAAAAAACCACCCAAATCGTTTACAACAACTTGACTGCTGATGAGAAGGAAGATATTCTTTTCAATGGTATCACTGTCTACCTATTCTGTGATGGTATCATTGATGAACTTGTCTCAGTCTTCAACACACTTGAACTTTTTGTTGGCGGTATTAGTACCAACCCATGGTTACCAATCATTGGCTCACATGTCCCTGAGTACATGGAAAAGGCCAATGTAAATTTCTTGAATGAAACAATCGGATGGAATCTTCAAGTTAGACCAGTACAAGAAGTTGTCCTTGATAAATCTCTTATCAAGTCTGGTGACTACTTGATGGTATTCAGACTCGATGGTCTTGATGAAATTATCATGTACGGTACAGGTTCTCATGTTGGCCACTCAGTTATGGCAATGTGGTTCCCAGATGGAGAACTTTACGTTGTAGAGTCTCAAGATGGATGGTACTGGCCCATTCACAATATTCAAAAGAACAAATTCGATGATTGGATTCAATATGCTAGAAATGCTGATTTCCATGTTGCTATACTTCCATTGAAAGATGAGATGAGAGAGAAATTTAACTACACAGCTGCTCTTCAGTTCTTCAATGAATCAGAAGGCTTACCTTTCGGATATCACACTTTCCTCGTCGGATGGTTGGATACTCCTGAGGATAACCTCCCACCTCTAATCCCAGCAAGATTTGTTCCAATTCTATTTGAGATTCTCAACAAGTTTATTCCAGATACAATTGATATTTTCCTTGTTCAAGGTCTAAACCACAGACTTGGCACTCAAAACTTGACTTACCCAGAAGTTGCTTCTGCTGCAGCAGAAAGAGGTTTAACTATGGAACAACTTATGGCAATCCCTGAACAAGACGGATGGCTCTATCACGGAATCGAACCAAAGGATGGTAGGTCATACGTCTGCAGTTCATTTGTAACTGGAATGTACAAGGCTGCAGGTCTCTTTGGGGATAAAGTCATTAATCCTCAAGAAATCCACGACAGAGATCTCTATAACATGAACTTATTTAACAAGACTTAATCACTTCCAGAAGCATGCAAAGCTGCTGATCCAACTCTTCCATATTGCTAGATCCTTGGAAAATACAGAATGGACATTGCTGACAAAGAACTCTCTTACCTTGAGGTTTACGATCACTATTGTGAGAAATGCCCAACCATTGGACCAGACTTTTTCAGACCAGATGGCTGCTGATCACTAATATCAATCATAATTTTTATTGATTTACAATTCCACCAATTTTCAATTTTTAAAAGTAGGGGTTTTGGGGTTTTGGGGTTTTGGGG